CCCCCGGACACGGCTCCGCGCCCCAGGTGCACCCCCAGGGGCCGGAGCCCCCCGCACTCTGCCCTCGCCCTGCTCCAAACCCACCCGCTGCCGCCCACGGCGGAGTCGGAGCCCCCCGGGCTCGTACCGGTCCTGCGGGGGCTAACGGGCGGGGGGGGCGGGGGGGCTGCCCGCCTCCCCGAGGAGCCACAGGGCACGGGCTGCTCGCCGCTCCCGTTTGCAATGACCCGGGGTGGCGAACAGGCAGCTTCGGGAAGGGGCCAGCAGCTTCTGGAAGGGGCCAGCAGCCCCTGGCCGCTGCCCTCAGCCCCAGCGGGGACATTTTCTGCTCCTTCCACATTTTGGGCTGGCGGGGGGGGCTCGGTGGGGGACTTTGCCAGGCTTCGCTGCACAACGGGGCTGCCCTATTTCGGTGCCCCCCAGCCCAGTGGGCTTCCTCACTCCGGTTTCATCAGCCCCCGCGGCCGGGGCTGCTCCCGCCTGTTTGTATCTGCCGGGAGGGCGCAGGCAGGAAAAAGCACAATCATTTTCTTGCTTCTCTGCCAGAATCCGCAGCAAGCAGGGAAAAACCCACCAGCCTTAAAGGGACTCTCTGACCTCGGCCGAGTCACTCGCCCGTCGCCAGCCCAGGGGCTGCTGCGTGTTCCCCGCGGTTCAAAGGGCTCTTCCCCCCCGTGGGACCCAGCACCGGCCCGTGGCACCGCACCCACCGCAGGGCTCCCAGAGGGGCCGGGGGTGCGTGTCCCCCTCGGGGTGAGGTGGGCACTGGGCTGGTGTGGAGGGAGCTGGGGATCCCTTTGGGAGTGGGGGGCGATTCTCCAGCAGAGCCGGGCACAGAGCGGGGAGGGGACCACAGCCAACCCCCCCCGGCCCGGAGCAGCGCCCGCAGATGCTCCACCGCGCTGGTGCCGCGGGGACCCTCGCCTTCCCCCAGCCCACCCTGTGCCTCCTCCACTGCCACCACAGCCCTTTGGAAAGCAGAGGCGCTTGGCTCTGGGCCCCCGAGGAGCCCACACTCCCCAGCCCGTGGGGGCGATGCCGCTGCTCCCTCCCATCTGCCAACCAGCACAAACAGAACCGGAGCCTCCCCGGGGGCCGCTGTGCCCCAGGCAACGCGGCCGCCTTTGTCTTGCCTTCTCCTCGCTGTCTCCTGCTCCCTGGCAGGTGATGGGGTGGAAGCCAGTAATTGCTCTAAGTGCGATCAATAAATCACAGTAATAGAATTACATCTGCTGTTGCCATATTAGGAACCGCTTCTCTGCTCTCTCCTCTCACCGCTCGCCTTTGTTTTGTTTTTAAATGGCCACGGAGCACCCAAACGGGTTGGGCTCTGGTGGGCATCCGGTCCCGGGCGTATGTCCCCAAGGGCTGGGGGTCAGCCCGAGGGAAGGTGTTGGGTCCCTGGGGAGGTCACGGGTGTTTTGCCCCCCACCACATGCAGAGACCCCGTGGTGTGGGGCTGGGACCCGCTGCTCGGTTGCTGAGTAGCAGTGAGCTCACCCGCAGCCCTGGGGAGGTAAAGCCACTCCATCCGCTCCCGCACAAATCCCCAGGGTCCGGGAGTTATTTTCATCTCATTTGCAGCCGGGCTCGGGCTCTGGAGAGTGAGCTTCACCTCAAGGGCTTTCCCCCGGCTGCTTTTCACCATTGCTTAAAGGAGAGCCTCCAGGAATAGAGCTGGGTCGCAGCCTCAGGCGCTTTGTGGTCAGGGGCCATCACCCCGGTGTCCTGCCCCACCACCGGACCCCTCCTGCCGTGGGTCCAGCCGGAACGGGGCTGACTTTCTCACCAGCAGCTGGTGTGGTGCTATGGTTTGGATTTGGGATGAGGAGGGTGTTGGTGAAACACTGATGTGTCAGGTTGTTGCCAAGCAGCCAAAGGCTTTTCTGCTCCTCAGCCCCCCCCACCAGCGAGCAGGCCGGGGGGCACGAGGAGCCGGGAGGGGACACAGCGGGGACAGCTGACCCCAACGGCCACAGGACACTCCCCGCCGTGTGACACCATGCTCAGTGTATAAACTGGGGTAGAAGGAGGAAAGGGGGAATGTTGGGAGCGATGGCGTTTGTCTTCCCCAGTCACCGTTAGGAGATGGAGCCCGGTGGGGAGGGGGAATGAACCCCTTGTCGTGCTTTGCTGCCGCGGGCAGCCTTTGCTCTGCGTTTTAAACTGCCATTATCTCAACCCATGAGGTTTTTTCCTCACTTTTACTCTCCCGATTCTCCCTCCCACCCCACCGGAGGGGTCCTGGGCAGCACCCGGGGAGAAGCCGGGACCCCCGCTCCCCGGCACCAGCGCCCTCCCACCGCACCCGCTCTGCATAATTAAACTCAGCCTAATTAAACCCCCTCGCACCCCCGGCACCGCATTAGAACCAACACCAAGTCCTCTCGAATCCGCGAAGGATTAGATGAGGGAGGGGAACGCGTCTGTGCAAGCACCGAGCGGCTCACCGGTGCTGGCGGGGAGGGGGCGGCCGGGCCCGGGGCTGGACGGGCTCGGCATGGCCGAAGAGTCCCCTCCAGCCTCAGACCTGGCTGCCCGCTCCCCACCTCCCCTTTGGCGTCAGGCTCGGGGAGAGGGCCGGGATCCGCCCGGGCCGCCGGCCCCCACCAGGGCCCGGGCGGCGGCGGAGGACCGGCGTATCCCAGCATACTTCGCGCCGCTCCCGGCGGAAGAAGATGCCGGGCGGCGCCACTCGCCCGCCCCCTCCGCCCCTTACAGCCAATCAGAGGTCAGCTGAGTCGGCCAGGAGAGCGAGAGCAGCCAATAGAGAGCGAGGAGCCGGGAGCCGGAAGACCCTGTCAGCGCCGTTGTCCTGGCAACGGGGCGGGGCCTGCGGGCGGGCCTCCCTCCGCCGCCGCCCTCGCCTGGCAGCCCCGGGCCCGGCGCTCCCCCGCCCGGTGCGGGTCCGGGCCCGGGCTCGGCCTGCGCGGCCCGGCCCGCCGCAGGGAGGATGGGGCAGCCGCCGAGGCCGGCGAACAGCAGCGGCCCGGTGGCGCCATGACCGGCGAGAAGAAGAAGAAGAAGCGGCTCAACCGCAGCGTCCTGCTGGCCAAGAAGATCGTTATCCGGGACGGGGCCGGCGTGAGTGAGGGGCCAGCGAGGATCGGGGGGGACACGGGAGCGTGTGGCGTGGCGAGCGAGGCCGGGGCAGAGGTGATTGAGCGGGGCCCGGGCCCGGGCGGTTTCGGGTCCGGACTCGCCGCAGCCGGGCCGAGGGTCCCGGGCGCTGGGGCCTGGCCGGGGCTGGGGGCCGCGGCGCGGGGCCCAGGGCGGGGATGGAGGGAGCGGGTGCGGGGCTGTGGCGTGGGGTCCGGCGGGAGGTCTGTCCCCTCGGCGGCGCCGCTCTCCGGGATGGCAGGGTCCCTCCTCTCCTCCCGATCCCTCCCGGGGCCCGGCCGCCGCGCTGGGACCCGCCGTGCTGGCGGAGACCCCTCTGTCCTGGGGCTTCCCTCGGGCTCGAGCCCACGGCCACTGCCTTCCGGACGGGCTTCTGGAACGATTCACCGGGTCCCGGTGTCCCCTGGTTGTGAGATGTCAATGCCGACGTTTAGTATTCACTTCGAGGGTGACAGGCTGCCTTCAGACCCACGTGAAATATTTACCTCTTCTGAGACGAGCTCTTTGCTGCGGGGGAAGAGCTGCAGAGGCTCCAGACCGTGCAGGCGACAGCGTCGTGCCTGAACCAAGGCAGCTTTGAAGTGGGCGCACCTGAACTGGAGCTGGTTGCGAGCTCCTTCCCTTTGGGCCTCCTCTCCCAAGGGACAGCAGTTCTGGCCGTGAGGGGCTGCCTGTCCTGTGGGTCCTGGAGGAGCGGGGCGGTGGGTGACCCCAAACTCTGAGCTGTCCTGAATTGCTTGGGGAGTCTCGTGCAGTAAGATGGTTGACAAGTGGAAGGAGTGACATTAAACTGTGAACAGGTCAGATCTGGACCTACTCCATTAAGTGGGATTGGCTGTTAATTTTGTTAGTCACGTGGTAGAAATGTTTAACTGCTGGAGAGGATAGAAAGGGGGATGATGAGAGGAAGAGGAGGGGGCCGCTCTGTGGAGTGAGGTGGGTAGATTGTTGTGCTCTTAATTACTGGCTTGGGGCTTCTCCCTTTGCTGCAAAACATTGTCTCATTTGTGTGCAATAAAACTGACTTATTTTAATGACCATGTCCCCCTCGGGTAGGGTGCCTCTGGTGTTGATGCTGTTGATTTCTTTTATAAGCAGACTTAGCCTGTCTGCGGGAGACGGCGTTAATAGCATCTGTGAACACAAACAATATTTCAGCAGAATAATGTCTCTTGCTGCCTTCCCTTGTATTTCGAAAAACTTACAGCTGTATTAGTTATCTGAAATGCAGTGTTATTGTCTTAGAACCCGGGAGGATGTGACTGGGTAAAAGATTGTACTTCACACCTCATGTTTCTTGAATTCCTGTCCCTGAGCACCTGTCCGCAGTGAATGCTGGAGGCAGGGTCCTGATACAGATGCGCCTTTGGTCTGGTCCATTAAACGATTTGTATCACAAGAGCACAGTGTAGAAACGTTAGTCACCTGTGAGGAAATTAATCTCTTAGCCTAGAAGAAATGCCAGTGGATTCGAGGGTTCCCGTACCTGATCCTATATCCCGTTGGATTTGAGATTTGTGCAGCTGGAGGAAGCTTTCTTTTAACTTCTGAATACTCTTCAAGCTGTTGGAAGCTGTCTAAATTGTTGGGATTGCAGACGTTTCAAGTGCTTTTATTAAAAATGTATCAGAGCTAGACTATACTTCTTGGTGAGTTCACATCTTGTGATTTGCTAATACGAGAAATGGGTTCTTGGGGAAAAGGGACAGATAAAGTGCTGCCATCAGAAATCTTTATGGAAAGAAAGATAAGCAAGGCCTTGAGGCATGTGTGGTTTTAACACATCTAAGGACTCTGCCTTTCCCACCGTGCTGGGCAGATGGGTTGGTGCTGAGGAGTAAAATTGCTTTCCCAAACTCCCAGGATAAGTGTGTTGTTTGACTTACGGAGTTCTGTTTTGCAGCGACAGGGGATTGGGGAGCCCAGTGTGTACCATGCCGTGGTGGTTATTTTCCTGGAGTTCTTTGCCTGGGGGCTGCTGACCACGCCGATGCTGACGGTGAGTGAGGCTCCCCAAGAATAATCCTGCCTCTGGTAGAGTGGAGCTCACCTTGGCTTGGTGAGGGTAGGGATCTGAACTACAGCCCTGGGACTATAGGGAGTAGAAATGGTTTGTACCCAAAATTTCTTCTGTGTGAATAAGCTGGAGCTGTAGTAATTTTTCATGTAGTTGGACAATTATTTTGAAATGTAATGCATGAAGTATGAAATGCAACTCAAAAGTATAGACAGTACAAAAGGGGGAGAGTACCAAAAAATTCTGTGGTAATATGACACAAAACCAGAGGGAAATCACGTGGTGCAGGGATGGAGAAAGGCATGTTTCAGATTATTTTAGCCTTGCCCAAGCTGCTGGAATAATGTATAGACCTGGGAAGCATTAAAGAAGGTGGCTGCCCGTGTTGGAGAGGGGAGGTAGAGCTCCTGACGTGGGTACAGCAGTGGCATTGGTAGTGTATTTCCCATTTTCCCTGTTGTGCTCTTCAGGCATCTAGCTGTCAGGGGCTGGGGGAAATTAATGGAAGTTTTGCAAAAGCTGCTAGCTCTGGTTTTTGTTTCTTTTTTTTTTTTTCCCCTAGGTGTTACACCAGACTTTTCCTCAGCACACGTTCTTGATGAATGGCCTGATTCATGGAGTCAAGGTAAGGAATATTCCTCCCAGGCTTTCATTTAAATCTGCCATCAGTGCAAGGAGTGGCAAGCCATTATAATCTGTGTCATTTGCTGATGTCAACCGGTATCGGACAGAAAAATGTTCATATTTCAGTTTGGGGTGCTCATTGGCTCAGCTACAGCAAAATGGAGAATTGACAGAGCACAGAGATGGGGCAGCTCGTGTAACTGATCTGAGCAGCACTAACAACGTGCTGCTTGTCAGCATGGCTTTGGGGCTATAACAGCTGTGTGTTTCAGCAGAAAATATTCTAATAATCATGAGATTAGCCCTGTAACCGTATTCTGGAGTGTAACAAAATAAAAAATGAATGACATCTGACATTATCAGTAACAGAAGTTGAAAGTAAGCAGGCCTCAGCGGGCTCTGCCCAGGCAGAAGCAGGGCAGTATGCTGTGGCAGAGTGAGTTTGGACGAGATGGCATTTCCAGAGCAGAATTGGAGGCAACTCTAGCCATGTATTCTGATTTGGGAATACAGATTGTTAGGCCCTGGCTCCAGCAAGAACGTCTCAAAAAATGGCCCCAGAGAAGTCTGTTCTCATATGAGTTGGGCACAGCCATATACACTTATGGGCTCTTCCCTACCTGTCTTGGGTTGGAAAGACATTGAAAGGCATTGAACAATTTTATTTGTGCTTAATGGCCTTGGCAGCTCGTCGGGTCTGTCTTGTCTCCATCTAGAAGAGAAAGCTTTCCCTAGAACTGCAGCAGATGTTAATTGATGGAGCTGTGCCAGCATCTGTTTCGGCGCTGTCAGGGAAGCCCCTGCTGCACAGAGGTGCCCGGGGGAGCACAGCTGCGGGCACAGCACTTGTGGAGAATGGGCAGCAATTGGAATGTTTCACAGCACCGAGCTGGTTGAGGATTAGGGTTTTTTTCTCCCTAAAAGGCTGTGAGCAGTTTAATGAACTGTTATGTTTTGATAATATTGTCTGCTTGTAGAAAATAGGAATGGATTGTCTCCATGTATTTTCATCTTTAGATCATGCTGTCAAAAGCTCTTGCTATCGATAATCAGAATTTGACTGAGGGATTTCTCTCTGTCATCCTGTCTATCTGTCTTAGGGTCTGCTTTCTTTTCTAAGTGCCCCACTGATTGGTGCTCTCTCTGATGTCTGGGGCAGGAAATCCTTCCTCCTCCTCACTGTCTTCTTCACCTGTGCACCAATTCCCCTTATGAAGATCAGTCCGTGGTGAGTTTACTCTTGTTATAATTGAGGAGTTCTGAGGAGAGCGAGGCTGAACGATGGGGTGTTACTGTGTGGTCACTCTCTAACTCTGCCTTTGGCAATGCCTGTTTCAGGTGGTATTTTGCTGTCATTTCTATGTCTGGAGTCTTTGCTGTCACCTTTTCTGTGATTTTTGCCTATGTTGCTGATATCACACAGGAGCATGAACGCAGCACGGCGTATGGCTTGGTAAGGAGCTGAATAACTGACTTGTCTCTTGAAAGAAATATCTGGGGCTCTGCAGGTAGGAGAGGTATAAAATCGGGGTGGGAGTTTTATTGACAAGCGTGAGACAGTATCAGTGGAAAGATGGTATGTGTTTCACTAATAATACAATCTCTCTGTTCCATTTGTGATTCGGCACTGAGGGAGAGGGCTGATTTCTGTGCAGTCTGAATACAGTCTGTTGCTGCTCAGCCTTTAAACCAGCCTGGTCTGTGAGCTGCTTTGTGGCAGGAAAGGGGTAGGCTGCAGTGCTGGGTGCTTACAAGTACCCTGTGATGGGGCCCTTTCTGTAGGGTTACTGACAGTATTGTGTGGGAATTGTTGGGTTAGCTTTAACTTCCTTTTGCTAGAACTTAGCCTGGATTGCACCAGGAGAACTTGGTTGTCTCTCTGTCTAAGGAGTCCCTGTCCACCGGGATTATCTCCGTCAAAGATGGCAAAACCCTTGGGTTACTCTGGAGGAGAAAACAGGCTCTGGGAAGAAGAGGCTGTATTAATGTTTTATGCTTCCAGGTGTCAGCCACGTTTGCTGCTAGTCTGGTCACAAGCCCAGCCATCGGCGCGTACCTTTCCCAGGCCTACGGTGACACGCTGGTGGTTGTGCTGGCGTCCGGCGTGGCTCTGCTGGACATTGGTTTCATCCTGCTGGCGGTGCCGGAGTCTCTGCCGGAAGAGATGCGCCCGGTCTCCTGGGGAGCCCCTATCTCTTGGGAACAAGCAGACCCATTTGCTGTAAGTAAATATTGTTGCTTTCTTTCTGCTTGCTGGTGATACTTATATTTGCTTTAGTTCTGCTAATTTGTCTCAAAAGGAATGTTTAATGATATTAACTCATTTTTTAAAATTATTTTTTTTCATTCTCCACCTTCCTTCCCTACAGTCCTTGCGGAAAGTGGGTCAGGATTCTACAGTGCTGCTCATCTGTATCACCGTCTTTCTCTCCTACCTTCCTGAAGCCGGCCAGTACTCCAGCTTTTTCCTCTACCTGCGACAGGTCAGTCTCTGGCAATGAGGGAAGGCTCTGAGTGCAGGAAATCCCAGTCTATAAATGTGATTTTAGTTTCACATCCTGAGGAATCTCATCTTGGCCAATAGCTGAGTAAAGTTGTGACTATAAGAAATAGTGACTTGTTCCAGCTTTCCTAAAAAGTGTGGGAGTCTGGTGACCACTCTGTGGGCGCTCCAGGGCCCTTTGCGTGGCTTCCTGCTGGTGCTCTGCCTGCCCACCCTGTCCCTGCTGCTCCCAGTCATTTAAGCTGAGCCCAGTGATTTAAAGCTGTTTTTTCAGCCAGAGGAAAGTCTTCCTTTTCATTCCCGTGGCAGCAGGGAGGCAGTGGAAGGTACAGTTGATTGATGTTTGAGTACCTGGCAAGCAATGTCAGTGAACATTAGTGACATTGGTGGAGTGGCTTTTCTCATACTGTACAAATCTTTTGCCTGAAAAGTCCCTCTTTGGTGTTTTCACAGGTCATTGGTTTTTCCTCAGAGACTGTGGCAGCCTTTATTGGCGTAGTTGGAATTCTCTCTATACTGGCTCAGGTGAGAAGCAATTTCTGTCGTGGCTTTAGCAGGTATAAGAACATCCAAAATTCCTGATAATTGGGGCTGGTGAGCTGTTAGAGTCTCTGTGGCCACACAGACATCGTCAGAACCTGCAGCCCCTCTTTCTTCTCTTTTTTGAATGTAGCTGTTGTTTGTTGCATAAAGAACTGGCAAGCCATGGGGTGGCCCCGTGTTACTCCGTAAAACGCCATAGATTGTGCTGGTTGCTGTGGCCAGGATGTGCTGGTTTCTAACTCCATGTTACGGGAGCAGAGGACCGTGTGTGTGTGTGATCACCTGTCTCATGACAGCACAAATCCCCTCAGATTCCTGTCCTCTTGCCTTGTGGTGCTGTTGTTTTCCTTTGCATGCACTTTGAAGGCACTTATTTTTCTTTCCAGACGGTAGTGTTGGGAATTCTCATGCGTTCAATAGGAAATAAAAACACCATCCTGTTGGGATTGGGCTTCCAGATCCTGCAGCTTGCCTGGTACGGCTTTGGGTCGCAGCCTTGGTAAGAGTTTGTCCTCGTTTGTCTCCCGTCACCAGTGGGTTCCCCCACCTCAGTGGCAGGGGGAGATGCTGCCCGGCCACAGTGCTGGCCCGGGCTGGCCCTCGGCGGCCTGTCCCCTGAGTGCTGCCCCTTTCTGCCCAAGGATGATGTGGGCAGCAGGAGCTGTGGCTGCCATGTCCAGCATCACCTTCCCCGCCATCAGTGCCATGGTGTCCCGGAACGCAGATCCCGACCAACAGGGTGAGTTGGGGTTTGATGGGTGAGTTCATCCAGCAGTGCTTGAGCTGTCGCATGTTGGAGATCTCAGCATCAGTGGTGGAGGGGTGGGCAGGAACGTCTGTGCCAGCCACGGAGTGTCACTTTATTCATGGTCTGACCGGAGCTGGTGCTTTGGGAGGGAATTCTTACATTATGCACGTAGGTGTTCGGTGCTGCCTGTCTGTGGTAGAGGAGACTGCGCTTAATCGTTTGCCTGCTCTGTGGTTTGACCCCGAGTCCTCAGACTTGGCTGCCTTAAACTCCAGTTCAGCTGGAAAGGGTTGCTTGATGTGCCCAGGATCATTTTATTCTCCAAAGTAGCAAGCCCAGCATTACTGATTTTTGCAAATCCTGATCGAAGCTAATCGCCAGCTTAGGCGCTTCGTCTCTAGAGTGCGTGTCATCCGGGTCTGAATGTTTCATCCTGGCTTTAAATACGTGAGCATCCTTGAATAACACAAGTTTCCTTGAAAGCTGGAGGCACATCTTCTGTCCTTGCTCTGTCCCCAGGTGTGGTCCAGGGGATGATCACTGGAATTCGAGGTCTGTGTAACGGCCTGGGGCCGGCCCTCTATGGCTTTGTCTTCTATCTCTTCCACGTGGAGCTGAATGAAATGGCTGAGGTGGAAACTTTGGGTAAGGCCTCCAAACCCAACATGGCCAACCCTACAGACGAGGTAACCTGTTCAGTTTTATCCTTAGCTTTTCTGGGCTGCTTCTGTCCTTGCACTTGAGCATTAATGGTTCCTCCGTTTCTCCCTACAGAGCAGCATTATCCCAGGGCCTCCCTTCCTGTTCGGGGCTTGCTCTGTCCTGCTGTCGCTGCTGGTGGCCTTGTTCATTCCAGAGCACAACCTTGCTCTGAGGTCGGGCAGCCACAAGAAGCACAGCAATGGGGCACAGACCCACAGCCCGCAGGCTGGGGGGGCAGAAGGGAAGGAGCCGCTGCTGGAGGACAGCAGCGTCTGAGCAGGGAGAGGAGGGACCTGGCTCCTGTCTCAGCTCCCCAGAAGGATGGACCCAGCCAGCAGGAGTTCTGGGAGAGCACAGGGGAAGAGGAGGAAGGAGGTATCAGACTGTGCCACTGACAGCTGATGAGAAGGGACTGGGGCTCCCTTCAGGCCAAATATACCCTGCGGGTGCAGAAATGGAATTGTATCACCTGGTGCTGATGGAAAGGGGAGAAGCTGAACTGCTCCATGGGGAGGGATCATTCTTTAAAGCCAACCTGCCCTTGTAGGAGAATAACGACCTTCATGGTATGACCTGCCAAATACCCAACTTGCCAGTGACAAATCCAGGAGCTAACCTTGTCTTTGTTGTGACCTGGACTGACTGAGCTGCTGGCCAGAGGAAAACAGGGCCCCATCCCCTCCCCTAATTGGTACTCGCTGCTGACCCCGTCACAGCGTGGCTGGGACCGGCCAGACCCCATCTGCGTCCACACACTGAAGAAAACGGGTGTGTTTGAAGGACAGACAGTGTCATCACCTGGGAGCAGATTCCCACTGCTCGAGGATCTGATGGATTTGCCCATTCTGGCCCGAGGGAAACTTGGACCAAAAAAAAAATTATATACTGACTTTATGTTCTGATGAAGATAAGAAAAATTAAGAAGTGAAGTTGCAACTGACACAAGGGAGAATGGGCAGATGAGAGAAGGGTGACTACATGAATTAGAAATGCTTAGTTTGTATTTCTGTTTGTTCTCTCTGTTTTTGTTACACCCATGTAACATTTGTCTGTCACTACCTCCATTGGTAGTAGGTAGAAGGATTTTCCAGAATTCTTTTTCTGGAACTGTAAGGGTTGTTTAGAAAATAGAGGTCTCTGAGAAGTTGAAGAAACAACTAAACTCTGCTGACCACCTTGGTAAAGAGTGATTTCCTAAGAGAAAGGTCAAAGAAATAGCTGTTTATCTTGAGCACTTTTATAAAGCATGTTGATTTTTCCCCAGGCTCTTGCCATTAAAACCAGATAATGACTGTAGCTTGTTTTTTCTCAGTCCAGCGGATCCTGATGGTGATGATTGCGATTGATTTGAACGTACAGGTTTGGATTCTGTTTTGGATTTCTTCTGCTACAAAGGCTTTTGTTTTGTTGAAAAGCGGAATTGCAGCCCGTGCTGCAGGGTTCAGCTCTGGTAGAAAGAGCAGCAGAGACTCAAGCTTGAGTGTTGTGAAAGAAGGAAAAACAAACGCATAGGGATTGCCTGGTTGTTTATAGAACCATAGAGATATGGCAGAGGGCAGGAAACAATCGTTCTTGTTTGAGCAAGATCAAAAATTAATGGCATTGAGCAGTCACTGGGGAAGTAAAGCCTGGACTGGGAACCCTTAGGAAATGAGTTGTTAAGGGAATTGAGGGTACAGTGGCCAAAACCAGTCCTGTCTCAGAGTGGGGTTTGTGCAACAGCTCCTTTCTCTGGCTGGGATCCCCTCGCTGTGGGTTTGGGAGAGGAACCTCGGGGGAGAAGGGCCGAAGGGTGGGAGCGCTCTCTCTTGGTGTTTGCGAAGGGGTGATGGTGGCCGACGCGGTGCCCTTGGCCTCTGGGTTCAGAGGGAAACACCCTCTGGATGTCCCCGGGGAGCACAGTCCCTGCCCCGATGCTGGTGCCCAGCTCTGCCCATTCTGTGGCTCGTCCTGCCCTGGGGACGAGGGGGGACGTGAGCCCCGGGGTGAGCTCAGTGTCCGACCCCGCCGGGTGCGTCGGTGCTGGGTCCTGTCTGCTCCGGGCAGCCAGAGCTGCCGTGCTGTGTCGGTCTCTAATGCTGGTCAGGTACTAACAGCTTGGAACCACTGCCTGGACTGGGCTGAACTAATAATACAGTGTCTGTTTACCCATTTTCTGGACCAGTTAGTTATTGGAGGTGGACATTTAAGTGAAATAATTCCTGGTTTGTTTTGCATTAATCCAGCCTGGTGCCCAGCTCCTGTGATCAGAACGGTAGGAGGAGATGGTTGTGGTGCAGGGGGCAGGCACCCTGCACTCTGAGGGTTTGCTGGTGCGGAGCTAATTGAGGACTGGAGCACGGGGCCAGCAGAGAGTCCGTGACCTGCGGTGACTCCAGTTTTCCCAAGCTCATTGTGTGATGCTCCAAATTCCCAAACGTCACTGGGACGGTCTGTGCCGTGCGTGCGCAGCAAACTTCTTTCCTGAAGGAAATCCAGTCACTTAAACTTCCAGGCAGCAGCCCCAGCTCTGTATCACTCACAAAAAATGTTTTTTTTTAGACTGGAGCTTTATTTACAGTGTATTAAAATGAACTGCAGTATGTTTGTCCCTCACACACGAATGAAGTGAAATGAAACACCGAATCGTTACCTCGTTCACACTGAGGCACTTGGAGCTTCACGGGTAGAATATAGCGGAATGTTACAAAAAAGATGAGCATAATTTATATGATATAAAGTATATAGAGATATATTTTTTAAAGTCCTTTCCTTTATCAAATAGTTTATTGAAACCGAAGTGTTTCTAGTCCTGTTCCCTCTCGCTGCTGCTGCCTGCGGCGTCTCGGCCTCTCCTGCCCCTCGGACAGCAGAATTACCCGGGTGAGTCTCCCCCCTTGGTCCCTGTCCCTCACCACACGACACCCGAGGTCCCAGCAATGCGACATCCCCCAGGTCGAGAGCAGGGGACCGGGAGTGTTTCAGTTGCTTCGTGAGCCCTTTGTGACTTGTACATGGTCCCTTGGCTGTGCTGGGGCTGGCCCTGGGACCTGGGCGTCCCGTGGGGCAGGTCTCCTCGCCCACCCCAGGGGTGTCACTTGTTCCTGGCGCTAAGAACGGGCAGGTGGCCCTTCCTACGGTTCCTCTCACCGGGTCGGGGGGGCCTCAGCCCCCCGTAACTCCCCTCCCCATCGACACAGGGACGTGACCCACCCACCCACTGCCTTTAAGTGACAGGAGGGCTTGGGCTACGCGGTGACGGAGCTGAAATTACTGGACCTGAATGACGAATGTCTCATTCTGAAGGGCCGGTAGTTCTGCAGCATCCCACCTGGAGACTGGGAAATCTGTACGGAGCATTCAGCTAGTTTTGCCAATTTTTGTTACTTTATATGAAATTGCAACTTTTTTAAAAGAGCCTTTTCTTAAAATCCCCTTGATCTGCTGTGTAGTGCCTGAGCCTGGCTGTTTAACACCACTGTCCCCAGAATTTGCCTGCAGGTCGGTGACAGCAATGCCCCAAACCTAAGGCAAAAATTGGCTTAATTGTCCTTCTGCAGTTCCTGTTCAACGGCAGCAGTTCCAGTGGGTTTTAACTGATCTTGTCGCATTAAAAAACCTGCGTTAAACCTTTGCTTTCTCTTTTGCCGTTACTTTTGCAAAATAGTGACTTTTTCCTTCACTGTTTTTTATTCCTTTCTCTGCACTCGGGTGGCTGCTGACACCTCTGGTTCTCTGAGAGCGGGCGCCTGGGCCCAGAACAGCGCTTCCTCTGAGCTCTCAAAGTTCAGTACGGCGTGCGTTTCTGTATCTCTCTTTTTTAAGCTAATGATGAAATGTATTTATTTCAGTTCCAGTTGTGTTCAGAACTGGCTAATCTCTCCCTCCGATGGATTATTTATTAAACTGCTGCTTTCCTGTTGTGTTGAAGTTCTCTGTCCTCATCCTTCTCCTACCCGTGTTAGGGCTTCCCCATTCCCCCCGCGCTTCTCCCAGATCCCGAGCCCCCTTGTAAAGGGTGCTGAGGGGGTTGTTAGGAGAGACCCCGTGTCTGACCCTGTAAATCGTCTCCTGTCTCCAGTGGGCATGAGTTGTCGAGTTATTTCTACCAATTCCTTAAAACTCAAGTATTCTAGAGGAAAAAGTGCTTGGAACTTTCACCCTTGATCCTAAAATAGCTCTCCAGGTTTCCGCTGGAGCATGGAAATAGCTGGATTAACAGCTCGACCTTCCCTGGATCTTGGGCATGAACAGCTCTGAGCCCTGACCCGCTGCCCCTCGTGCTGCAGGGGTGAGCACTTGGGGAGAGGACGCTGCTTTCGGGCAGTTTGTGCAGGGCAATAATTACAATATGGGGACAAGTAGGGAGCAGCGAAAGGCTAAGGAGGAGAGAGGGGTCCCTTGCTGCCACCCCCAGCCCCCTCCCCACCCTAGGACCATGGAGCGGGTCCCCAGGCCGGGTCCCTGCTTCCCGCCAGCCCCACTGGAGCCTCTTCCCTGGGCTGGTTTCAGCAGCCCCAACTCTATTGTCTTCATTTCCAGCCAGGCTTAATTTAGATCTTATCTTACTCATTTAAACACTTCTTTTGGTGTTTGAAGGCGGTACTAAGGGAACAATATAATCCACAAGAAGTATAAACACGTCCAAGGGGCTCTTGGATGGGACCCGGTGTTTGATGGCTGATATCCTATAATGAGCCGGAAACACAATCAGCTGTTACATGATATGTTACCTTTTGTATTTATTTCCTCTGGACTTGAGCTTAGTTTTATTGTTTTCACCTTTGAGAAAGGACCCACACTTGTGACACTTCGCATCACTGGAGAAACCAGGAAGGGTACTTCAACGCGGTGTGGTGGTGCCCATCCTCTCCTCGATGGCTGGTGCTCAGTGGCACACGCAGCCCAGGGATGCTCCGTGGGACGAGCCCCCCGGGAGTGGGATTCCCGTGTTCTGTGCCATGCAAGAAACCTTCATCTTGTTCCAGCCGCCCTCATTGATCCCGACTCCAGCCCTGTCATTTCTGACACCGGGCGTTTGCCGGCGGTGACAGCCCAGGGTGACACCCCGGCCTGGGGGGCTCCGGTGTCAGCGCAGGGGCATCCTGTGCCGGGGGCAGCCCTCGTCCCTCCACCGTGTCTCTGGTTTGTTTCCTGCCATGGGCTGAGCATTTCCCAGTGAGAGTCCCCGCTCCTGCCCCTCAGGGGGAAGCACCGTTGGCTTCCAGGAAAGGCTTTCAGGCTTCTCTTTCTTGAAAACCCCCGTTCCCCTTGCTCTGACCCCAAAGCTTTCCTGTTGCATGGAAAACTGTCCCGGTGCTCTAAACTTGCTCTTTCCGCCCCTTGTCTGTGACCCAGTGATCTCTCTCTGCCGTGTTCGGGGCAGGGGGAGCTGCCTGGGAGCGCCTCGGGACAGGGGGAAGATGCCGAGTCTATTGAAGGAGAGACCCTGAGCGGGGGCTGCGGTGGGGCTGGCTGCCCCACTGCTCTGAGATTGGACGGGTCCCCGACCCTCCCCGGCTCAATAACCTCATGGTTAGGGCCGACTCTCCTGGAGTAGGAGCTTTATCAGGTTTCCATAACCGTGGGTTCCCCTGGGATCCGTGTTTCCCGTGTGGCTCCCGGGTGCTGTGCGAGCCCTGAACCCAAGGACGTGCATCACGAGGCGCTGGGTGTTCTGGTGGCTGGTAATCTCCTGACGGGGGGACCAAGAAAGGTTCTTTTTAAAAGAAAAGACTGTTTCATAAGTGCTCGACTCTGGTTCGGATGCTGATCTATGGGGATTTTCTTTTCTCACCCAAAGCATCATTTTGAGGGGCACCCGTGATGCCGAGAGCTGGTGGGGAGCTGCCTCCCGGGGGAATGCCAGCAGCCAGTCCCCAGTGGCTACGGCCACTTTGTCCCTGGCTTGTGGGCAAAGGCCGTGGTGGCCCCACAGCCCCCAGCATGGACCTGGCACCCGGCACAGCCAACGGGCACCGAAAGGCTGGGACTGGTCCCCCAGGACCTGTCAGTGTTGGTCCATCGATGCGGGAGCCCCATCTGGAAGCTGCACCAGACCCCAGCCAAGGGTGGCTTCCAGGGCTTGGATTATTTTCTTTTTTAACTGTCTGTGGGTTTTTTTGTGCCTCCTGCCCCAAAATCCTGCAGCAGAGAGTGGTCTGTGAGGACGGTATTTCCCTTCTTTAAACTCTTGGTGACATTAGGAGGTAATCCTTCCCCTAACGAAGTAGTTCATCACTTGGTGCTCACCCGTCTGTGACCTTCTGTGGGTTGTGTGGCCTCTGCACCCCTAATCATCCCCCCGTGGCCCTTCACTTGCCCATCACCCACGGGAGGACTGGCCAGGCCTCGTGCGCCAAGTGGCCACCACGGATCTGGGCTGTGGGAGGTGCGTGTCCTTGGGTGCCCTGGGCTCTGCAAGGAGCAGCCATGGCCACGGCCCGTCCCACCCCAGGGCTGGGCTGGGGGCTCCGGCAGCTGCTGGGAACTGCGGGAAGTGTCTCTATTAACACAGGATGGAAGGAACAAAAACCCCAGAGCCATTAATCTCCTGCCTTCGGGTGAATGTGCATATTTGATGGCGGCTGTTTATAGAGCACTTCCCTTGCTCGGAGGCCTCTTGGACCACCAGAGGATTAATTACCCAGTCTCCCGAAAGTATGCGCGACGCACCCAGTGCCCGGAGCTGCCTCTCCAGAGGGTTCCCGGATGGGAAATGGGCCGGGTCCTGCACCAACTTTCCACCTTCTGTGACAGGAGGTGCAGGGCTGGGCATGTCCCCTTCGGTGACCTCCCTGGCCTCGGCTGCAGCCCGGTGGGACGGGATGGAGCAGAACCAGCCCCGTCTCCCCGGGGAGCTGGGCAGGAGTGAGGAAGTGATGCCCGACCTGCCCTGAGACAAGGGACAGGCACTGAGGCTGTGCCAGGGCCTTGGGGCTAGAAAACAGGGTGTAATCAACATCTTCCACATGGTAATGCTTTCTCCATCTACACCATAAAACCAAAACCTACTTTTATCCCCCAAAACACCTTCTTCTAGGAATAAATGCTGCTTGCAGCCCTACTGAGCAGCACCTGAGCCAGGGAGGGACACCTCCTCCCTCTGCCCGGGGAATGTACCTTCCCAAGCCCCCATTTTGGGGCAGCCAGGGCTCGGGGACGGGTTCCTCCCTCATGCCGAGACAGCCCCCCCAAAAGGGAGATGTCCTCCTCCAGCCCCATGGCGTTCATTCCAGCTGTGGGGGCTTGAGGTATGAAAAGGGCTGGTTTGCTGGGGGCTCTGGGGGGAACGGCAGAGCCCGCTGAGAAGTGGGGAAGGGACGGGATCTAGGGGTGCAGGAGCCTGGGCAGAGCTGCCCGGGGAGGAGACGGGGGACCCTGCAGCTGCGCGGGGACCCTTCGGGCTGAGGGGGTCTCCCAGGTTTGGGGCTGCCAGCAGGGCCCTGGGCTGCGGAGCTGGGTGTTGTGCAAGCGCTGAACTTGGAAGAAAATCAGAAACCTCCCTCTGGAAATACCCCTTGGGCTGGAAATTTGCAGAGGCCCCGGGGCCGGTGGTCACGGGGGGCGGTTCCTGCAGAGCTTAAGAAGGGCTGAGGACGGGGCTGGCGGACAGAAGGAGACAGCCCCAGCCGGCGGCGTTCGCTCTCTGGAAGGAGGGAAGGAAGGAAAACCAGCCCCTGTTGCTGCCCTCCCGCTGCTGGCGATGGAGCCGGTTCCTCTCCTCCTCCTCCTCAGCTTGCTGAGGGGCTGCGGCGGTGAGTGCCACGGTGGCCAAGCGCCGCCCCGATCCCTTACCCCGCCGTGTTGCCCGTCCTGCTGCTCTCGCTGCTTTGCCGCGTGGCACCACGGGCCAGGGCGGCCCCAGGGTCTCCCACTGTTGAGCCCTGGTGGCCACCGTGTCCCACGTGCGCCGCAGGTAAAGGATGAGAACTGGATGGAAGGGGCGTTTGGGCTCATTTCCCCAAGAAATGGCTGGAAAATCTCAGTGATAAATGGAAATGGATCAAGCAGTGATGCCTGCAATGGGGCAGACCCAGGCTGGCATGTCCCTAGTGCCCGGGACAGCAGCACTGTGGGGGAAGCCTTAGCCATCCCTAACGAGCTGTCACTAATGAGCAGTGCCCCTCCCATGGTGATGGGGATGGAGTTTCTGTGGTGCCTGAGTGTGACTGTCCCCTTCTCAGTGAAGATGGGAACTGGCACCTCATTTGCCTTGTAAATGATTGGGTTCTGGTGATTGTCCCCTTCCCTAAACCCCATGTTTTCCTCCTCCCTCTGCCCAGGGCGACCCACTGAGAAGCTGGTGGTGACGCCGCAGCAGCCGGTGGTGCAGTACGGGGGCTCGGTGCAGCTGAACTGCTCCCTGCCCTGCGCAGAGGGCACGGTGCAGTGGAAGGGGCTGGACACCAACCTGGGGAGCATCACCTCCTTCCCCACCCACAGCATCCTGCACATCAGCAGCGCCGTGGTGGCCATGGAGGGCACCCAGATCTGCCAGGGGACCTGCCGTGGGCAGCACTACCAGGAAGCTGTCAACCTGAAGGTCTATGGTAAGCATCCCCCAGCCCGTCCCTCGCCACTTCCCCTGAGGCAGCTGCTCCCTCCTGGGCAGCGGTGCCAGAAATCACCGTGTGATGCTGCAATTCCCCCCTCAGCCCTCCCGGACACGCTGCAGCTGGACACAGAGCCTCAAGCCCTGGAGCCAGGGCAGCCGGCCACCCTGCACTGCTCAGCCCAGCAGGTCTACCCGCTCATGGGGCTGGCGCTCACCTGGTACCGGGGGGACCAGGCGCTGAGGGTGGCGGAGTTGGACCCCACGGAGACCGAGGAGCAGCTGTTTAACATCACGGACATGCTGTCAGTAGCTGGGAAGGATGTGGGAGAAGGGGTGGAGTTCAGGTGCGAGGTGACGCTGAGCATCGGGCAGGAGACCCTCACCCGGGTGGCATCTGTGACGGCGAGCGCTGGGGGTGAGTGCCAGGGCGGGAGCTGGGGACCTGGGATCACGCGCTGCCCCCTCCGCTGGGCGCAGCCCCATTGCTCTGCGCTGCTTGAGACAGCTTTGCTGGAAGGGGAGCAGCCCCCCATTTCTGTCCCACTCTGCCAACGTCCCGTCCCCATCCCTGTCCCCATCCGCGCTGCCGTGCTGCTGCCTCTCCCTGCCTGGGGATGGCGAGTCCATGGGGTGGAGAAGGAGGGGGCAGTTGGGAACAACATGTGCCAGAGAGGCTCCTGGATCCGAGCTGCGGCACCACCTGTGACCTGCTGTGTCTGCAGCTGTGACAGAGCAGCCGGTGGCCATGGCCACGTCTGTGGAGAGCCCCTGGACAGCGGCGGCTACGATGGAGAGCCCCAGCACAGCCAGCCTTGTGACCACCACAGCGCTGCCCCTGGAGCCAAGTGTCCCCACACAGGATCCCACCACAGCACAGGGACCCATCGCTGAGACCATCCTGGAGCTGGCTGCAGCCACCAAACCCCCCTCCACAGAGCGCCCTGCTCCCCGGGACCTCCTCACAGGCAGCCCCACGGCACGTCTGGCCACCACCTCGCTCCCCAGCTCCAGCACCACAAGCCCCCCAGCTGAGGCATGGGGGACGGCTGGGGACAGCATCAGCTGGGGCTCTACCCAGGCAGGGAAGGGGATGGGGCTGCCCGTGGGGACGGTGCCCGCCTGCAGCCTGCGGATTTGGTCACTGCCTCCCAACGGGACGCGGGGCAGGGCCCTGAGCATCGAGTGCCACGCACAGTGCACCGGGAACGCCACCGTCCGCTGGCTGCGGACCCCCGTGGCCCTCTCGCAGTACCAGGAGGAGGTGGCAGGCAGCAGCTCCACGCTGCGGCTGGACCGCGCTGAGCCCCAGCACCAGGGCCATTACCAGTGCGTCCTGCTCGGCCACCGCTCCCAGGTGGTCAGTCTGCAGCTGACGGTCTCAGACGGTGAGTGGTGGTCTGGGTCTGCAGCCCCCTCTCCTGTACCCCGCACTGCTTGGGCTTGGGTTGCAGTGAGTTGTGTGGGTGCTGTGTTCGGTGCTGGGGGTGTTACACTCACCCCCCGGTACCGGCTGGCGTGGGCAGGGTCTGTTTGTAATTACACGTCCTACCGGTGTCTTTGCAGACGGGGACAGCACGGACCCTGCTGTTGCTGCGGGGACAACGGTCTCACTGTTGGGGCTGATTGTGACCAGCGTGGTGTCCCATCGCCTGTGGAAACGGTTCAGATCTCAGTACGAGCTGTCCTAGGAGCAGGAGCTGCCGACAGATGCCCACAGCCCCCCGGGCCTCCCTGCTGCTGCCCCTTCAGGCACCGGGCTCCCAGCAGGGGCTGGCGGAGCTGGTGGGGCGCGGGGTGCTGTGGGGAGAGCCGGGACGGGAACAGCCCCCGTCCCAGGACACATCCCGGGGTCTCCGAGCTGCATTGGGAAGCTTCGCCCACCCCTGAGGCTGAGGGGCCTGCGAGGGGTTGCGCTGCCAGAGGGTCCCCGGGAGCTACTGGGCTCCCCGGTCGCGTGTCCGGCTGCTCGGGGGAGCTCGGTCTGAGTCCTGTGGGAGAGGTTCAATAAAGGCAAGTGTAGGGTCCTGCACCTGGGGAGGAAGAATGCCAGACACCAATATAGGTTAGGGACAGACCTGCTGGGAAGCACTTTTGAGGAGAAGGATCTGGGGATCCTGGTGGAAATTAAACTCTCCATGAGCCAGCAATGGGCCCTTGTGGCCAAGAGGCCACTGGGATCCTGGGCTGCGGAGGGAAGAGTGTGTCCAGGAGGTGGAGGGAGGTCATTCTCCCCCTCTGCTCTGCACTGGGGAGGCCACAACTGGAATCCTGCGTCCAGTTCTGGGCTCCCCAGTTCCAGAGAGACAGGGAACTGCTGGAGAGAGTCCAGCACAGGGCAACAGAGATGATGGAGGGATTGGACCATCTCCCTGCTGAGGAAAGGCTGAGAGAGCTGGGGCTCTTGAGCCTGGAGAAGGCTGAGGGGAGACCTTATCAATGCTGACAAGTGTCTGAAGGGTGGGTTGAAGGATGGAGCCGGACTCTTCTCAGTGTGCTTGGGCTTGGGTTGCAGTGAGTTGTGTGGGTGCTGTGTTCGGTGCTGGGGGTGTTACACTCACCCCCCGGTACCGGCTGGCGTGGGCAGGGTCTGTTTGTAATTACACGTCCTACCGGTGTCTTTGCAGACGGGGACAGCACGGACCCTGCTGTTGCTGCGGGGACAACGGTCTCACTGTTGGGGCTGATTGTGACCAGCGTGGTGTCCCATCGCCTGTGGAAACGGTTCAGATCTCAGTACGAGCTGTCCTAGGAGCAGGAGCTGCCGACAGATGCCCACAGCCCCCCGGGCCTCCCTGCTGCTGCCCCTTCAGGCACCGGGCTCCCAGCAGGGGCTGGCGGAGCTGGTGGGGCGCGGGGTGCTGTGGGGAGAGCCGGGACGGGAACAGCCCCCGTCCCAGGACACATCCCGGGGTCTCCGAGCTGCATTGGGAAGCTTCGCCCACCCCTGAGGCTGAGGGGCCTGCGAGGGGTTGCGCTGCCAGAGGGTCCCCGGGAGCTACTGGGCTCCCCGGTCGCGTGTCCGGCTGCTCGGGGGAGCTCGGTCTGAGTCCTGTGGGAGAGGTTCAATAAAGGCAAGTGTAGGGTCCTGCACCTGGGGAGGAAGAATGCCAGACACCAATATAGGTTAGGGACAGACCTGCTGGGAAGCACTTTTGAGGAGAAGGATCTGGGGATCCTGGTGGAAATTAAACTCTCCATGAGCCAGCAATGGGCCCTTGTGGCCAAGAGGCCACTGGGATCCTGGGCTGCGGAGGGAAGAGTGTGTCCAGGAGGTGGAGGGAGGTCATTCTCCCCCTCTGCTCTGCACTGGGGAGGCCACAACTGGAATCCTGCGTCCAGTTCTGGGCTCCCCAGTTCCAGAGAGACAGGGAACTGCTGGAGAGAGTCCAGCACAGGGCAACAGAGATGATGGAGGGATTGGACCATCTCCCTGCTGAGGAAAGGCTGAGAGAGCTGGGGCTCTTGAGCCTGGAGAAGGCTGAGGGGAGACCTTATCAATGCTGACAAGTGTCTGAAGGGTGGGTTGAAGGATGGAGCCGGACTCTTCTCAGTGGTTCCCAGTGACAGGACGAGGGGCAACGGGCACAAGCCGGACCATGGGAAGTTCCACTCAAATCTGAGGAAGAACTTCTTTGGGGTGAGGGTGGCAGAGCCCTGGCAGAGGCTGCCCAGGGAGGGTGTGGAGTCCCCTTCTCTGGAGATCTTCAAGCCCCCCTGGATGCTCCTGAGTGATGTGCTCTGGGCAACCCTGCTTTGGCCGGGGGTTGGACGGGGTGGGCTCTAGAAGGTCCCTTCCAACTCCGACAATTCCCTGACTCCAGGAGAGCAGACCCCGGGGCTACCGGCGGGACCCACCGAGAGCGGGAGGGGGCAGAGACGTCCCCGGTGACTGGGGGGACACGGGGACAGTCCCGGGGGACTGCGTCCCCTTGAGGCAGCGCTGAGGAAGGTCCGGCTTTGGGGGGAGGCTCCTAGCACCGGCGGGGACGGGCGGGGGAGAGCGAGGCCTCGGCCCCGAGGCGCCCCAATAAAGGTTTTGTGTTGGAACCCTGCGCAAGAGTCTTTTGGCCGGGCCAGCCCCACGGCGGGCCCCCAGCCCCACGGCGGGGCCGGTCCCGATGGCGGCGCCCTGGCCCACACTCAAGATGGCGGGCCGCGGCCTCGCCCAATGGCGGCGCTCAGAGGCCGGCAGGCTCGCCCACCGATTGGCTGCCAGTCTGAAAGATGGCGGCGCCGGGACTTCCGTCCTCCGGCGGAAAGGGCCGTGGCAAGGCGACCGGAAACGGCCTTCACCGCCCGCAGCCAAGATGGCGGCGTACGAGAGGCGGAGGGCGCCCGCCGCTCCGGCCCCGGCCCCGGCGGCGGGCAGCGGGTTGGCGGAGCCGGGTCAGGCGGTGGCCGGCGGGCTGGAGAGCGAAGCGGAGTTCCTGCTGCGGGCCGGCGTCACCGCCATGGTGCGGGAGGCGCTGCTGAAGGTGCTGGAGGCGCGGCCCGAGGAGCCCGTCTCCTTCCTGGCCGACTACTTCGAGCGGCTGGTGCCGGGCAGCCCCGGGGCGGCGGGGGAGGCCGCGGCCGAGCTGCCGGGGCCGCCGCAGCGCCTGGCGCGGGCGCTGTGGTACGTGCGCCTGGCTCACCACTCCCACAGGTGCGGGCTGCGGCGGGTGGCGGCGGAGAACTACAGCTCCCGGCGTGCCCCGCGGCGGCGGCGAGTGCCCCGGGGCGTCTGCGGCGCCCCGGGGCACACCGGGAGCTGTAGTGCGGGGCGGGCCGGGGGGGAGGCCGCGCGTCTGTCTCTCTGTCTGTCTGCCCTGTCGCGACAGGACGGCCTTCGACAGCAACGCCGGCGCGGCCTACGAGGTGCTGGGCGCCGGCGGGCGGCGGCGGAAGGCGGGCGTGGACGGGCGGCTGTACAGCGAGCTGCTGCGGCACATCTGCCAGCACGGGGGAGCGCCGGCGGAGGCGGCGGCGGCTCTGCTGGGCCGCGTCCGCTGCCGCGACCACGAGGCCGTGCCCTTCGACGTCTTCCGCTACGGCGTCCTCACCTGCTTCGTGCTGCTGGAGTTCGCCGCCAAGGCAGACGCGCTCTTCGGCGTCCTGGACGGCGGCTCGGGCGCCGCTGACGGGCGGGTGTGCCAGGCCGTGCTGCGGGCGCTGGAGGACGCCCTGGGCATCGGCAACGTCGCTCTGCCCAGTCGCTACCTGGAGGCGGGCTCCAGGCTGGGGCCGGACGGCCTGGCCCTGGCCATGGACCGGGCGCTGCAGGAGAGGAAGCTCGGCAGCTCCATGAGCCGGGAGGAGTTCCTGAAGAAAGCCACCGCCTTGTTCGTTGCAAAAGTGAAGCCCGTGGAGTAGGGCCCGGGTGGGAGCGATGTGGACGGTGCCCGCTCTGGCCTCTGTGGCCGCTCTGTGCGGAGCCGGTCACACCGCGGGGCGCTGGGCCCCGGCACGAGGCTGGACGGCAGCTGTGGGGGAGGTCGGTGCTGCCTGACGAGACTCCCCATTTCCACACTCCCTTCCTGGTTCGAGCCGATGGGATCCCTGCTGCTCTCAGCCACGGCTCCTCCAACCTGGTTGCCATTAGTAAATCTTTTCTAGGCGTTAAGTGGGAACTCGCGAGGAGGCCGGTCAGCTGTAGGGCTGAGTTAGTCATAAAAAATGAGCCAGAGTGACGTAAATGTGGGGCTGGGCCTCCAGATCTCCTGCAGTTTGGTCCCAGCCCTGGCAACGTCACATCGTGTGGCTCCAGCCAGGAGCTTGGTTTCTGCTTTTGGGTTTGTTTCACACCTACTCGTGAGGTGGGGGGCGATGCTCTCCCCCCCCAGCTGTGCCTTTGCAGGTACATCCAGGGCTGATCTGAAGTGTGAGACAAAGGGTTAGTTTATTCAGCAAAACCTTTTAAATGCACAGCAGATGAGAAACGGGCGGCCGTGAAGCAAACAGCAGCGGGAGGGGCTGGGGGCTGGGGGGACAAGCTGCCCCTTTGCTTGACACCTGCGGCTGCTGCCGCCCGGGCTCTGAAGACAGCCGCTTGTCCCGGAGCGACGGCCCCTTGGAGAAGCCGTAGAGCCCCACGGAGTCCACGGCGATTTGGGACGTGGAGCCGCGGGTGATGAGGAGACGAACCCCCTCCCTTGGGGCCTGGTTTGTGTTTGAGCCGAGACGCGGGACGAGCCGTCTGTTATTTATTTGAACTTGTCTGTGTTAATTATTTATACCGTGCAATTTACCGTGAGGCATTAAAACATTTTATTATTTTTTTAGTGGCAAATTTCCATCACCACCCGGCAGCGCTTGGTGCCGGGACGAACCGCGGCCGCGCTGGGCTCCTGGGGCAGGTTCTCTCTGCGGGGGCGGTGGCGGCGGCCGGTGCGGCGGGAGGTGGAGCGCCGGTAGTGACCGACCCGCGGTGCCGGAGGGGCCGCTCGTGCGCCGGGATGTTTGTGGCGTTTCCTGAGCGGATGTTTTGATCCCCGCGGCGGGAGGGCGAGGCCGCGGGCGAACCGAGCGCAGGTGACGGGATGTGACGGGCGGGAGGAGGGGACCCGTGACGCCGGGACCGGCCTCCCCGGGGGCGGCCTCCGCTTCCGGAGCAGGCGCCGCCGCGCGGTGTCACGCGGGCGCAATGACTTTATTATCGATGCTGGGGGTGTCGCGTGGGCGCAGAGGCTGCGGAACCGCCGGGGCGGGGGAGCGGCGAGACGCAGCTCGGCCCGGCTGTCGGTGCCGCCATGGCAGCCTGAGGTACCGCGCTGTGGAGGCTGCCGGGAAGGAGCCCCGCCCCCGCCAGCCGGCGGTGCGCTCTGATAGGCGGAGAGCGCCTGGGGGGAGGAGTCCCGCCCTGCACGGCCCCCCCTGGAGGGCTGGCACTGCTTTCTGATAGGTCGACAGCAGCCGGGGGGAGGAGTCTGCTCCTTGTCCCGCCCCGGCGGTGCGCTCTGATAGGTCAGCGGCGCCCGTAGAGGAGGAGCCTGCGCTGACCCCGCCCCGCGCGGGCGGACTACACCTCCCGGCGTGCCCCGCGCGGCTGCGCTCGCCGCGGCCCCGCAGCAGCAGCGCCGGCCCCGCCGCCCCCGCTTCACCGCGGCTGCTGCGACTACGCCAGTCCCCGGCTCCGCTCGCGGCCTACCCCGCTCCTCGGCGATGGCGCGGCCCCTCGTGCCCAGCTCGCAGAAGGCGCTGCTGCTGGAGCTGAAAGGGCTGCAGGAGGAGCCCGTGGAAGGGTTCCGGGTCAACCTGGTGGACGAGGGGGACCTCTACAACTGGGAGGTGGCCATATTCGGCCCCCCGAACACCTA